TTTTCCCTACTCCTACCGTTCACAACTACACCTAAGGTTCTCTAAAACTCACAAAGGAGAAAACAGAAAGTGTTCCTGACCTTGGCGAGACACAGGGGCACCATTATAGGATTGAAAATCACGCTCGAGCGGTCGGTCCGCTGGGCTGAGCGGATTGAAAATCACGCTCGAGCGGCGAAGCGCTGGGCTGAGCCCGGTTTGAGTCAGGGGTGAGACAGGAAGGAGAAAGAGAGAGAGAGGGAGAAAGGAGAGTGTCAGTGGGGGAGTCACCTCACCCTGAGACTAGTCCACTTTGGGAGCGGCGAGTTTCTCAGAACCAGTCTGACATCAGGTGATGTCCTTAAACAGCACCCTCGGCACAGACTGGTCGAGCTCACCTGCCTACTGCGGTTGCCCTCAGCCTACCTTCCAAGGAGTCTCCTCACTTTGAGCTAGGCGGCAACAAAAGGGTGCAAGGGAGGTTTCTCACCTTGAGTGAACTGTTACCCTGCAGTCTGAAGAAAGGAGTCTGGGACTTCGGCAGGTACTGGTCTCCATCGCCTCACTTTGGTTGGACCGGTAACAGAGAGCAAAAGGGAGTTTCCTCACCTTGAGCGGACTAGGACCAAATTGGCTCGTTAAATTAGGTAAAGGAACGATTTGGGGAGAGTCCTCACCCATCGCTGCTTAACATGCAAAGGCCACACAACACGGGGAGGCACCTCACCCTGTGTGTAGGAGTAGAAATTAGTAACCTCAGGGAGGCACCTCTCCCTGTACTCAAGGACCTAAAGCAAAGGTGGTGAGCTCCCACAAGGGAGAAGAGGCCCAGCAGAGGCGGCACTCCACTGGGCACCACTCACCTCCACAGGCATAGCTCGAGACCCGAGTGCTTGAAGCGGAGGGAGACACTCGCCATGAAACAAGGCACAACCCGAGCATTGGAGGGAGGTGCAACTCCCTGCCTGTGAACGAAAAGCCAAAGGATTGACCTGGGCAGCATGCACAGAGGGAGAGAAGGAAGGATGAAGGGAACTGAAAAAGGCCGCTGCCCCTCAACGCGGAATTTTGGCGCAGGGCCGACGCCAACCCCTCATTGTCGGCAAGCCAGTGGCGCGGGGTCCACGCTTTCCCCTATTCTCAACTACGTGGTGGTGCGGGGAACCACACCCTGCAAGGCCAGTTCCAGACCCCTAAACCCTTACCCTCAAACCTGAGTACTGCGAGCCCAGGTGGGCCTGTATAGCAACCAGCAGGACGGAGATGCTCACAGTCACTGCAGCCCTCCTGACCACTGCACAGCCCCAGTGACAAGCCTGCAGCAACTGGGCGGGAGAGTCCCTGGCAACAGAGAAAAACCTCCAGAGGCTGCTGACGCAGGAGGCCTGCCCGGGAAAGGCAACGCAAGGCCCCAAGCAAAGTCACTCAAAACTTAAAACTATCAGAGCAAAATCAAAGAACAAACGGGTCAACCAAGCATGAGTCCCCAGTCTCTCCTACCTGCCGCCTCTGGGGCCAAGGCAACAAGCGGCCGGAAAACTCAACTAGCAAGGGTCCCTAAACCTAAATAGAAGCAAAAGGGGAGAAATCTCACCCTGAAATGGAGATACCCATCGTCGCCCTTGCAGCCAGAAAGCTCAAAAGGGCCCGGCGGGCTATCGCAGCAAACCTGACAAGCTGCAATGCTCCAAGAAGCAGGGCTGTGAGAAACCCTGGCTGGGTAAAGCAACACACAGGACCTCCAACACCAAACCCAGCCTTGGCGATAGAGGCCTGTAAGGAAGCAGCAGGGGAAGTGCCTCAAACTTGCTTAGCAACCAAGCGAGGCCGGCAGTCAGCAGGGGACGACACGACCAAACAGGGCACAAGACCGGCTGCATCAAATTGCCTACTCAAAACGCGCCAAAGGACCCCAGGAAAGACACCCTAGCATCGGCTGGCTTGGGAAACTACACCCCAGACGGGGGAAATGACGAAAGAGCCGCCGAGTGTAAGCGATATGCAAACCTGGAGCTCTCAGTCCTGCTGGCGCAGCACACGGGCTAACAAGCCCGGGCCCCGAGAGTAAGGCAAAAGGCCGTGAGGGAACTCACACACAAGGATACACAAACTTTCAGAGAGAGAGGGGATCCAGGCAGCCGCTGAGCCGACCTCCAACTCAACTCCGGTTAGGATCTTTGCGGGCGAGCGAGCTCAACCTCACAGGGCTATCTGGCGGCACACAGCGCTGGCGAGTTGCCTCAACCAATGTCTGTCACTAGACACACGTTGTGTCAGCCACCTGCAGGCGAGATGCCTCAGCCTAAGCTCGTCTGCAGACCTGCGGGCTGAGCTACAACTACCTGGCGAGGCTCCACCTAGGACAGTCACAGGACAGACTAAAGGCTAAGCTACAACTACCAGCAGCTCACGTGCAGCTGCCGCCTCTCTTCAAGAAAACTGTACGACAAGAAAAGTTGGCAACAAACTAGGGCGTTTTTGCAAGCAAGGCCCTCAAAACAACTCCCTTTTCCAAGAAAATCAAGCGAACTGTGCAAGCAAGATTGTTTCAAGGTTCAAGGGTTTGCGCAAGCTGTTGGTTTGCAATGGCTCAACTACGCACACCGGAGTGTATCTGCAGCTACCCCCCCCGCGTCCCGTGCTGCTCAGGCAGCCTACGAGAAAACACAGAGATTGGTTTCGGGTGCTCTTTGGGACCCACCCTTAGATACGGCCTCAAGAGCCCAGTGCCACGACGGCAACGGTGCGGCGCTTGCCAGTTTGAACCACAACAGCTTGAGCCAGGATTGAAAATCAACTCCCCCTCATGAACCTGTCGTCGAGAAAAGGTACCGGTCCAGTGGCTGCTGTTGCGTATTGGGCTCGTAGATCTTCTCACGGTCCACGATAGTTTTATGGCTCTTCCAAAAACGGCTGCGGCTGTACAAAGAGGCGTCAGCACCTACCAAGCACTCAAAGCCCTAAGAGCTGTGTGAGCAAAAGCTTCGGGGTAGTGCTGGGTGTTCTTCAGAACGAACATCTTACTATGCTCGTGGTTTCCAGGGCACTTTAATTTATCCATGCAGTGAATGAGAACATGACTGTTCGAGCACAACCTCCAAACCTTCTTCACTGGAAGTGCGTCCATTCCAACCATACCGCAGGCACAACCATGCACAAGAGCGGTCTCATGCGGATTGATCTTAAGGAATGACTTCGTAGCGGACCATCCCCAGTAAGCACAACGTTGCGGCCACTCAATGACCCAAGTTGCCGAATCAGATGTGTTGACTAGCTTCAAGAAGCTCTTCCAGAGCTTTCTGTGGACTGTGAAGAGTCCCTTAATTCTATCATCATAGTGATCTGCAGATCGGGCTTGGTGATACCGCTGCCAAGGCGAACCACCGGTACAGGGCGTCGAAGCCCACACAACAACATGCATGTTCCGACGGTGCGCCGAACGAAGCGCATGCTCAATGAGCTCGATGGTCTCCGGAAGAGTCCCATCCGTTTCTTCCGTCACGGGAATAGCATGGATGCCATAGTGGCTAGCAAGCTTAGTCAACCAGGCTTCTCCAGAGGTGCAGAACTCGACCATCACAATGTAATGCGGTGTCTGCAACCGACAACGACCAACCAACACACTCCAAGGATCATCGACGCTTGCAGAAAACAGACCTTTGAACGCGGCAAACACAAGGCAACGGACCGGGGGCGCATCACCTCGAAGATAGTCACTACGGGTGAGACGTTCCTCAAGACACAACTGTCCTATATGATACCAAGTTTGCGCGACACTCAAGTTCTTTGTTTGCAAGTCGGCGACGTTATCCGTTCCTGGGACGTGTGTAACCAGGATCTCGCCGTTCTCAACCTTATCCTGCAAGTAGCTTTTTTTTCGCTTTCCAACGCTGGGCTTCGAAAAGTCCTTTGCGAACCCGCCGATGGACCGCTGTGGGTCATCGCGAGAGGAGCCGCACTTTGTGCAGCAGAACACTAACTTGTACCTAGGGTACGCAGAACTACGAGCTACGGCAGAAGCTAGAAGCACAACACTACGGGCTACGGCAGCAGCTACGGCACTACGGCAAAACTGCAGTGCGGAAGCACTTAGGGACTGCAGGTCACACACGAGTGACGCGGAACCACTTGCACTCGCGACAACGCGACAGCTGTCCCCTAAGGAGATGGCATCAAGCGTGGCTCTTTGGTATAGCAGAGAAGATAAGCATTCGCAAATATCTCAGCAAGTTCGGCGGGTTTGGCGAGTTTAGCAACACGATTATCGTCAGTGTAGAAAACCTTACGTGCCATATCCTCAAACAGAGCCGCTCTGTAATGGCCAGTTGCCATTCGGGGGCCAATGTGGACGATTGCCGCTCGTAAGTGGTACTTAGAAACCCTAGTGGAGTGGCCCGAAAAGTAAGGAACCTTCAAGACAGGGTCGAGAGTAACAGGCTCTAAAACCTTATGGGCATCAGCATCGTCAGCATTAAACCGCGCAAGCTGGAGGATCAGGCATTCAGGCGTCTGCAGCAGAGCATGCGCCGGAGCCTGGGTGTGCCACAAATCGACAAGCTGTTGGACAGTGAAGTGGCTTAACAGAGGCGCGGTCAAAAGAAGTGGACAGGTGTCTCCCGAATCCCGCACCTGATCATGGGAGTCGCGGGCTTGCCACAAACCTTGAAGCGCAGGAGTCTGCATACGCGCCTGAAGATGATGCACAAACTCAGCAGCATCGTGCTGCTCCCGAGGGTTCCTCCAGTCGGTAAGGAGCTGTTGCCAACCAAGCAGGCTCCACAGGCTAAAAGGTTGCCGTCCTAGTATGCAAGCCTCCAAAGCGGTGAACACATGTCGCGGAATCACCGCCTGAGTGCATGCACGACTGCACCAAAGCAAGGCTGCCAGTGAGGCGTTCGCATAGCAGAGGTTTGAGCCGTTGGTGAGGCGCATCCTCAGCTGGACTGCATCGTCGACCTTGCTGCTAAGTCTGAAGGAAGTGCCCACTGGGGTAGCAGCAGGTACCGAGGGAGAGTTTAAGGTTAAGGCTGGGGCGGCGGGGGCGGCGCAGGCAGGAACTTGTAGATCTGTTGAGCAAGAGGGGACCTCGTCAATCGTTCGGGTTTGATGGACATGCCGATCACCTGGCAGCAAGCGCTGCCGCAGAGCTCCGCGAGGGAGGCGTGCATTTGATCGCTCGGTGTGGAGCGATTGGACACCGACGCCAGGAAGGTGATCGATGGGCCCTTGAGTTCCGATGCCAGAGGCCTGGTGGGGGCAAACCGAGTCAGCAGCTGGGAGTCCGTCGCCAATCGGATCACACTCTCCACCAGCTCGATCGCGGCCGCCGCCGTCAAAGGTGGGCGAGTGGTGTCCGGGATCAGCTTGGCCTGATCCGGGTCCCACCGAAGGAAGTTCCATTTGCCCTCGTCTGTGAGAAAGCCGAGCTTCTTCATGTTGGTTTGGATCTCCTGTGTCATGCGAGCCGGTTGCAGTCGCTGCAGAAACTCGCGCCACACACACATCCACAGGGTGAGCCGCAGCGGGGATGTGGGAGGAGTGGTCTCCCGATCGGCCTTCCACTTGGTCGCCACCGCAAACAGGCCCTCCGGGACTCCGCCCGGCAAGCCTGTGCGCATCCAGATAACGAAGGATGTGTCCAGCATGAGGGTCTTGATCGAGTCCTCGTGCCGTACCATCAAGCGGATCATCATGTGGCACAGGGTCCAAAGCTGGGCGACTTCCTCGTCCTTTGTTTGACTGCTGTTGGCACTGCCTTTGCCCTTGCCTCCGCCCTTTTTGCCCTTTCCTTTGCCTTTTCCCTGCCTGGGGTCTGTCTTCTGAAGCTTGCTTGGGGGCTCTAGCGGTCGCTTGGGTGTCGTCGAGGGTGCCGTCGTTATGGCTGTGCTCATGAACGCCGAGTACATCTCCCACTCTCTCTCCTCCTCTTGGTCGTGAGTCAACTTCTGGTCCACGTCCATCGTCATGGCTTGGACTAGTGAGCAAATCAGGATCGAGACTAGAGAACACCGACTGCCAAATGACCGTGCAACCCTCAGCGTGCCGACATGGAGCACATCGGTAGGCTTGTGCACAGAACTGACATGGACGTTGAACCTGAACAGCTTTGGCCTCCTTCACAGCCTGATTCAACCTATCCACAGCCGATGGGTGTTTGGCACGAATGTGAATCTTGATGCGACTGCCGTCGTTCGCCCACAAATTACAGACTGGGCAGTTGTGAGCCATGCGAGCATGCAGTTCGGCCTTAGAGGCAATGTTTCGCCAGCGTCTGAGGTGTTCTCTGGGCTCCGCTCTCAGACAGGGTTCGTCAAGCAGCCTGGCAGCAAAAGGTGCAGGAGGAGGAGGTGGGGGTGGAGGTGTAGTCTCCGGGGGCACAACAGGCGCTCGTTCACTGAGGATCTCACAAGCAGGCACTGCCGCTGTGGGTGCAGAAGATGGAGCCTCTTCCCGGTCCGGAGACCCCAGCAGAAGAGGTTGTGCAGCATTGAGCCGCTTGGGCACACAACTATCAAACTGGATGTGCAAATTAAAATTTCTCCACCCATTGAACTCACGAAGGCAGTACTTGCATGTGGGAACACCGTTAAGGGAATGTTCAACTTGATTGATTGAGGAGAGGGCCTTCTTGACATCACGATGCGCCTGAGCACCATGTGCACGTACCCGATGGCGCTGAAGCAGACCTGAGTTCGCGAAGGTGCACGGACAATTAGGACAAGCATATGGGCGAGCCACCAGGGTCACCTCTTGAAGTGTCGTAGCAGCCTGAGTGGCACCTGAATCCGGGGCAGGTGCTGGCGTCGGTGCAGCAGCCTGAGTGCCGGTCGAAGCGTGAGCTTCGGAGATATCAGGTCCATTCCTGAGGGTGCCTCTGTGCAAGAAGTGCGACCGTTGTGTACTTGGTGTCGGCTGGGATGCGGGAGCAATATTCGGCGCCTGTGGCGCAGCGACGGGCGGCTGTGCGAAAGCGGCCTGAAGGATGACATGCCACTGTGCAACCCTATCGAGCTGAAGCGACCGGTCGAGGGCCTTGAACCGGGTCTGATTGGCGGTGGCTTCCTTCGAGAGGAGCGCAATTGGGTCAAAGCCCAACTCGGTGAGGAAGGCATCCGTGGTCACATGTGTGTCCTTGGACAGCTGTCCACTGACAATGCGAAGGTGTCGGGCAACGATGCCCCGGATCCTGACCATGTCTTTAGCTTCAAGCTGCAGTGCTGTGATCCCGTATTTCAGGCATGGCCAGACCGTCGACAGCCACAACCGCCGCCTGGTGTGGCGACTGAGATGGTGTCTGGCGCTGAGCACTTGTCGAAGCCTGGAGAAAAGCTGCCCCGCCCGATTGTATCGGTGGGTAATGCTGTGAGATTCCAGGGCTCCGTAGCTGAGGATGATGCCGAGATATGGGTGCTTCCTAACAATCGGAAAAGCGCAGTCGGGTGCCACCCGCAGTTTGGAGACACCTTTGTCTTTGAACCGAAGTTTGCCCATGGTTCGCTCAGCCTGTGTGCCATGCAACTGGTAGAGAATCACACTCTTGGTGTCACTGACCTCCATGCCATGAAAACGTAAAATTTTAACCAGCTTGTGCAATTGAGCAAGGCAGTCGGTAAGGTCCGAGGATGTGCGAATCATCCACTGTGCTATCAGGTCGTCAGCATAAATGGTGAGTATTTCTGATGCTTGGGGCCCCAGAGTTGCAAGTAGCTGGCGGTACACATAGCCTGTCGCGAGCGCCCATAATGCAGGGGATAATGGACACCCCTGACGAACCCCCCGAGAGGTAGCACAAGAGGCTTTGAGACCACAATGGTCAAGCTCAACAAGAAGCTGGGAATGAATGGCAAGGACCTGTTGAACAATGGGCTCAGGTATCATGGCATCACGCATACCAGCAGCAATCATCGTTCTGGGAAGGGAGTCAAATGCTTTGGCCACATCCAAAGAGAATGTGACCCCGCCCACGCATTGAGCTCTGGAGGTTGAGTCGCGTCGTCGTTGTACCATGCGCTCTCTGGTGGGGGCTGCCGCCCGGACACTATAAAAGTGTGACACCACACGATGCATCGCTTCCACAGTTGATCGCCCCTTCACGTATGCATACTGAGGGACATCAGCAATGTAATGTTGGAGATACGGTGCAATGAGCTCTGACAACATGATCGCGTGTACTTTGCTGGCCGGACTTAATAAGCTGATTGGGCGAGTATCCGATGGCTGTTGCGACTTTTTGGTGGGTTTCGGCAAAAGACAAAGCGAGACCCGCCTAATGGGCATGGGAAGCATGTGGGGTATGTTCGAAAACGCAGCATTGAGACAGTCACTAAGCGCAGGGCCCACCTCTTGTGCAGCAAGCTTCCATAGAACTCCAGGCGAAGCCGAAGGATGCGCGGCCTTCAAAGCTGACAGAGACGCAAGGGCCGATGTGCACATGCCTGCGTCGAAGAGTTGAACACTGCAATCAAAGACCTGTGTCGGGCAAGCCCTCGAAGAAGCGAAAAGATCCCTGAAGTATTGCAGCAGTGTGTTGCATTCCGCCTGGGGATCCTGAAGGTTTCCCTCGGGATCGCGGATTTGCAACCGCGCCTTGACCTTGCGAGGAGCAAGGCGGTTCACCACACGATACAATGCAGATAGCTGGCCCTGCTGTGACGCCCGCTCCGCCAGAGCGGTTTGCTCGAGAAGAAAGGCCTTCTTGCGAGCGCGGCGCTCAGCAACGACCGTGCGCTCAAGTGTGCGGATCTGATGATCAAGCCTCCATGCCGTGAAGGCTGCACGCAGGCAGTAGGCAGGTGGCCTGTGGGTCAGCGCATCTCGTTCGTTGCGCAATTGCCAGAGAGTGCGTACGGCTGTGGCTTCGGCCGGCACAGTAGCAGCCGTCTCGGCTGGCGCAAGGGTGCTCCGTGCTCCCGCCGGTTGGCTATGAGTCCAGGCCTGAGTCAAGCATCGATCAATGTCAGCAATGGTGGGTCTATGGGGTAGGGTGGCCCTCAGCTTGTCACGAAAGGCTTGTTGTCGTTCGGGATTGTTTCGAACTGCTTCCCAAACGGACCTAGGCTTCAAAGTCAGATGCTTGGGACGAGAGTGCACCCAGGGACACCACGTGAAAGGAAAAGAGCCTCGGACCGGTATGTGTCGAGAGCCCAGTCGGCCCATGGCCACCGGCCAATCCTGCACCGGTCCGCTGGCTAGGCTGGTGCCGTCAGCATGTGCCCCACGTAGAATAATGTAATCTATCAGTGTTTGGGCATTTGTGGCTGGATTGACAAATGTTGCGCCCGGTGCCTGACCAAAGGTGTTGGTCGCCACCAGCCCAAATGTGCACAACGTGTGAAGCAGCTCCTGACCGTCTTGTTGCGGGGGAGGGGTACCAGGGATGCCAAGACCAACTACTCCTTTGCATGATGCGAGCTGGGTGTTCAGGTCACCTGTGAGGCACAAAAGGTTGCGACGTGGGAGCGACCTAAGAGAGCCACACAGCTTCTGCAAGAACTGAGCCCTGCGGCGCATGGCATCCTGCCACCAGTCGGTCTTGCTGTCCTGTTTGCGGTGATGCCAGGCGAACTGATATGCATGAAGAAGGTCGATAGGTTGATGTCCTGCTTTGGGTGTGATCCGCAAGTGTTGCAATCTACCTGCGATGATGGAGCTATGCCTAATGCCCTCCGGGGTGGCTAAACGCTTGGAGATGCAAGTCAGCAGACCGGCCTCCTTGGGGGCACCACTGCTGTGGTGCACAAAGCACCAGTGGTCATCATCCCACTGCAGGTCGTCCCGCCAAATGGTCTCCTGAACGCAGACGATGTCTACACGATTGCTATGTGTGCGAAGCCACTCCTTGAGCTCTGCCCAAACCAGGGTGGTCAATCCCCCAGCGTTCCACGTAAGCAGACTGCAGCGTCTAGGGGAGGGGGCATGTGCAGAAATTGTGGCAACACGAGGCCGTGCACTTCCTGAGCTGCCAAGCCTTTGTGTACAGGAGGGCCGTGCCGGCGTGCCGGTCGTGGCGTCTTCCCCTGCATCACGGGATGTGGCTGGGCCAACGGCCCTGTGCACTTGCAGATGCCTACCCTCGAAAATTGATCCCCGATAAGGTGCTACTCCAAACTGCTGCGCCGTAGTGATAGCTCTGCGAAGTGCCCTCTTGCGATGGGGCAACTTGCGGGTGTTATGGCCTGGCTTCGCCTCTGATTGGCGGTACATGGAGTCTTGCGATGCGGCTCCAGGATCGTCGGCCTCCGATCCAACCCTCGCGTCTGCAGGCTTTCTTGCACTTGTGTGATCTGCAAAATGCGGCCTGCCCCTGGACTTGGGACCAGGGCTGGTTCCTGTGGTCATCATGTACGGTAGTTCTGTGGGCTTTTCTCGGGCTGGGTAATAATCATCATGGGTGTGCGGCATGAAAATAGGAGCATGCGGGTTCAGCGTGTGTCCTAATGCAAAAGAAGAGACAATCTCAAGCGCAGGCTCACTCAAAACCGCAGGTTCAATCCCTAACTCGGCTTCAGAGTGCAATGCAGGAACTCTCTGAGGTTGCGACGTAGCAGGCACGAACTCCGGTGCATGCGCGTTCAAGGGCACTGAAGCACCCGACGACGGCACACTGTGAAAATCATGCTCGCTGTTTGTGGTTGGATCCATCTGCAAAACACTAAATGAAGAAAAGCACGCACCCAAAATCAAGCTGAAAATCAGGCTGAAAATCAGATTGGCAATTGGCAACCTTGCAGGGTTCATGTCCTGAGAGGACCTGACTGCAGCAAGCTGGTCAAAGGAGCTCCGAGCTCTCTTTCTGTGGCCTCTACCAAAGAAGGATAATTCCTTGACGCGTAAGCAACAAGGGAAAGGCCACCTGCTCGAGGCAAAATGTCCAGTGCAGATACGAAGAAGTCAGCTGCTTCCAAGTGCTGCCACAAGCTGGCTGCGAGGCGGTCCCCGTAGGAGGGATCTCGTGCTATGTGATCAATGACCTGATCCCGTGCCAAGGTTTTCAAATGAATCAGCTCCGTGGTGCAGTGCAAGAGTAAGCCCGGGCAGCCGGGACGACGCTTAATGGCACTACAGCACCAGAGGGTGCTATGAGCCGCTACCCCGCCCCGCTACCCGCCCCTACACCTCGCAAGGGCCGAACGAACTGGGCAACACGGGGAAAACCACACGAAGGAGGGGAAACCCGGGTGCCCTGAACAAACCCAAACCCAGACCCGAGCGAGGGCCCACCGCTTGAACCGAGACGCTTCCTGCAAGTAGCAAAGACGAAGGTCCACATGACGCATCCTTCTCAGGAAGCCGGACATCATACTGACTTGGCGAGCGGAAGAGCTGTCCGTAGGCAGGTATAGGGGTTGCGCAACGCTTTCGAAAAGGTGGCCCAAAAGCTGCCCCAATCCTACAAGCTCGCGCGCCATCTCAACCATGGCGAAAAGCTCAGACTCCGCACTGGAGAGTGCTACGATAGGCTGGAGCCTCGAGTAAGTCTTGATACAATTCCCATTCAGGTAAATCACTCCTCCGCTGGTGCTCTTCCGTCCAGTAGAGCGCTCAGAGGCCCAATTAGCGTCGCTGAATCCAACGAGGGTTGCAGTCCCAGGTTGAGCTTTGGAGTCCTTCTGAAAGACCTGAACAAGATCGGGAACCTCCAAAAGCCAACGAAGCACTTTACGCATACAATCCTCATGCACAGCGCGCGGACAGGCTTGACCTCTAGACAGCATGGAGTGAAAATAACACAAATCCCCCCTGGTTTGCACAAGCCAGCCTAGTTTCCCTAGGGTGCTTCTAAAGCGGCTCGCGGCTTCAGGGGAGAGCTCTTCGGAGGGCTTCTCGGGGTCTTCCTTGTCAAGGATCGATCGGAGGTCTGGTGGTGCAGTGCAGGGCTTCATCTTCCTGCGGTTCTCCTGGCTCCACCCAAAAGCCTCGAAGATCGAATCGACGTATTCTTTCTTCACAGCCAACAAGATCTCATGGCCACGCTTGATTATCTCACGGCCTAGGAATCCGATCCTGCCGTCCTCATCCAAGCGTCCAGTCAACTTGACCTTAAGACGGCCCATGAGGAAGTCTAGAAGCTGTTGGTTTGCCTCTTTCGTTCTTGTGGCTAGCAAGATGTCGTCGACGTACACAAGACAAAGCACAAGGATGTCTCCCCAATACCCTTTGTACAACGTAGGTTCAATAAGAGAAGGAAACAATCCCAACTCAGCAAGAAGTCCAGCAAGATGCTTCTGCCACGAAAGGCCTGCCGATCTCAAGCCATATATGGCTTTCTCCAGGATGACGTAAACCTTAGAGCCATCAAGGTTCTGAAAGCATCCCGGCAACTCAAGCACGGTATCAAGAACCAACTTGGCATACAAGAAGGCAGTCGAAACGTCAAGTCCCCAAAGGACAAGCGTATCCTGGACAACACGACAGATGAAAGCCTTGAAGGCCTCCACAGAAGCAGTCTGGCTCGCAATGCCCAAGTCAAGCGCCGAAGGTTGATTGAAAGCAAAGTCTTTTGCAACAAGGCGCGCACGCACAATGTGCTGATCGTCAACATCAACCTTGTCAGTGAAGACAAAACGCGACTTAATGATCTTGGCACCTGTCTCCTGGCAGTGGGTCTTAATCTCATCATAGGTGCGGGCGTTGCCGACACCCAAGTTGTGCATAGCAGACACCTCTTTCTGCATGCCAACCCACGTTTTCTCAGGATCCAAAGGCAAGCCACTGACATCATCAACCACAGAAGTGGGCTTGATGACCCACACCTCCCGATCACCGAAAGGCATGGCTACCCCCTCATCGGGGTTACTGTGCTGAGCGGGTGCTTTTCTCTTAAGCTGAGCAGCAAACAAGCCGACCTCACCGTAATCAACAGGACTCAGGTGATGCTTCTGGTCCGGAATCACTGAGAACATGAACTGAGGCATGCTCGTACTGTCAAGGACATCCGGGACCTGAGCAACATCCATGGGCACAGTGTAGTCGTCCATATCAACCTGATCCATCTCAACGTCCCCACCAGGGAGATACTCCTGAGGGAGCTCAGAGTCTTGGGCTGCTTGTGAGGGTTCGGGCACCAGGTGCTGCAGATCCTCAGGAACAGGAGACCCAGGAAGACTGGGCTCGTAGTCCAAGCTCTCTTCTTCAAACTCCACAACTTCAGGGTTCGGGTTGATTTTTACTTGAGGCTTGTCAGGGGCTTGTTGCTGTTCAGGATTGTCAAGATCACCGAGCGTATCCCTGATGTAATCACGAAAGCGAACTTTGCAACGCCTAGAGTGGAAGCGCGATCTACCTAAGCATCCCGGACAACGTGCCGTTTTGTTGTTTTCAAGCCATTCAGGCGCCGGTTGCGGCAACGGGATTGCTTTCCTCGGTAGGGCCACCCCTGGTAGGCTTTCATAATCAGGCTCATCAGGATTAGCCTCGGCGATAGTGGGTAACAAGTTCGACGAGAACGTCACTGGGTAGGCCATCTTGAGAGCCCGAGCGACGCATCTTTTCATAGACCCATTCGAGAGTCTGATCATGCAGTGATGCCCTTGCCCACCAATCACAGGGCCGAGATAGGCACCAATGTCGTATCGACCATCAACTTGTGACGCAAGGTGCTCTGGGGGCTGGATGTACATGATGCAAGCAAAAGGAAACAACAAGTGAGGCGTGTGACTCTCACCCAAAGCTCGCTGCAAAGGACTCAACAGTTGACCCTGTGACGCTCCGAACCGGTTGTGTGAAGCAGCCGCATGGCTGTGAAGCAATTCCATCGCTTCCTCATTTGCCAACAATTTCAAGCCACTCACGCCCTTGGCGTGAAGCTCGTTGGCCAAAGCGGTTTCTTTAAGCGTGCGGATTGCTCTCTCAGCTACCGGGGCGTGCCTGCTAGGAGAGGTTTTGGTAGAAACCGAACTCCCACCTGTAACCTCAACGACCTCGGCTGCTATGGCTGCTAAAAGCGGTTCCCCGTCATGTACAACATGAACTTCTTTGAGACCGAATGATTTGAGGAATTTGACTAGCTTCCCCACTGTGACTTTTCGGTAATCTCCTGCATAGGTAGCAGCTGTGCCTACACAATACGTCGGTACGTGCACCACAGCGATCAAACGGATGCCTCGATACCAGTATTGATCCATCTGCACCTCAAGTGGGTCGACACTTTTGCGTGTTCGGGCGGGTGAGAGCCCTTTAGATCTTACACAGCTAGGACAGCCACCCCAGTAGGGGGTATGACCCTGACGTTGGTGGCGCAATCTAGCTTCGGCACCGATGTTTTCGGGGAGAGCTTCTTCAGGGTCTACCGGGGGTTTGGTGTTGTTCGGGGTGGTTCTCTCTAACCCTTCACGGTCATCACCATCATCATCAAAAAGCTGCTCTAGCTCTTCAACACCAATGGCACCACCCACATCACCTGAATCAAGCAATGGGCGACCGACCGACATGCACGCTGAACTACCTACTGGCACGCAGGCTGCACGACCTACCTGCAAGCAAGCTAGACTACCTACCGGAACACAAGCTGGGCAACCTACCTGCACGCAAGCTAGACTACCTACCGGAACACAAGCTGGGCAACCTACCTGCACGCAAGCTGGACTACCTAGCTGAACACACGCTGGGCAACCTACCGGCAGCACTTCTCTGACAGCGGCACTCTGCAAGAGAACTTCACGAGCTCTCTCTTTTGGCTGCTGCTCAAGAGCGGCTAAAGTTACAGGTCGCTGTCGCTGCTGATTGCCTCGACCTCTTCGAGGTCTACAAGCGGAGGAACCAAAGGTGCCGGTTTCGCTGCCGTTGCCAAA